TCAGCGGTTCGGCCCCCAAGTGGCGGTTGGACGGTCTAGACCGCAGGTTCCACCGACTTAGCAGAACAACTGGTAAAATATAAATGGTTTATCAATATTATGACAAACTACAGGAAGAAGCTGATATGCAAATACAGAGAATAACAGTAGCTAATGAGATACAGACGAGCTAATACAAAACAGTGAATAGAGCAACTGTTGAGGAGCTATTGAGGAACGAACTAGACATCTCAGAACCGACACACGAGATAGGGTGCTTCGTACATCCCATGGGTTGAGTTCAAAACTAAAAGTGTGACAAAAAACCTAGGCCGGGCGCATGGAGGAAGCGCTAACTCCAAATCTGTCTTCCTTATCTGCTTATCGCTTTTCTGGACGAAGCTATAAGCCATCAAAGCCATTATTTTGCTAAGAAATTATGCGTGGAAATGAAAATTTAGCCGTACAGAGCCACATCGACTTAATGCTGGACCAAAAGCGACAAATTTACTTTGAATTCTTAGAAGCTAAAGCTGAGCTAAAAGTGCAACAATGTGCTCGCTTTTGCTGATTTATCTATGATTTTTTCACAAGAAAACTGCTTGTAGCTTCGTCCACAGAAGTGATAAGCAGATAAGTAAGACAGATTCTAAGTCAGCGTTTTATACTGCATCAAACGATATACAGCTTGTTTGGTTTTGTCACTTCGACTTCCGACCATTCTCTTGTTAGCTGAATATAAACGCAAAGAGACCCATCGATTTGAAAGGAAATTATGATTTTTCCGAAAAACTGGCGAACGTCTTTGGTGACAATTTTCGAATGAGCTGTGCTAAAAAAAATCGAGGTGGTACAAAAATTGTAACCGCAAAAATTCAACCATTCCTGAATTTTCTTTTGCTGGAAGTGGCCAACGCCCACGAACCCAAAAGTTTGTGTTCCTCCTTCTCCTTCCTCAAATAAATTTCTCGCGCCGCCACTGCTTTTCGTATGTCTATCCTTTCTATTTCTGCTTTTGATTTTCAAATCTATTTCCTCTCACAATGCCGCACACATCACAAAATAATAATTTTTAATTTGAAGTTAAAAAATTCGAAACTTACGATTTGAAATAAAAGCTCGAGAAATTCGAAAATAAAATTTTCGAATATCAGTGGGGAATGATTGAATAAAATAGAAATAATGTGGTAGAAATATAAAAGAAAGAGGCGGGGCATAGTGGGTCTCAAGAATATTCTTAGTACATGTGCAGATCGGATGTGAAGGAAGAGTTTCGAATTTTTGAAAAGGATGGGACGAGCTTTTGGTTCAAGTATTATTTTCTAAGTGATAATTCATGAAAATTCAACAATAATTTATATTAACTTTGACTTACACATACCTGCCTTAGGGTCCGACACACACCTGTTTTGTGTGGAAAATGCTGGAATATCAAATTGAAACAAAGTTCTGTCGCTCCAAACTTTGAAGTTCCAAAAAAATTCAAGTCGAAGTAAAGCCCTGATTTTTGCAGAAAACTCTTGTAATTTTGAAATGTGTCTCAAAGCTTCTCTTGTTGAAATTTCGAAATTTCCCAAAATTTTGAATAAATTGTCCAAATTTGCTCCGTATTTCCTGGCGAAGAAGTTGCAATTTGGAACACTTGCGGCAGGGCACGATTTACATCAAGAAATTTCAATTGATTCTCATTACAGAAAGGGATGGAAGCCGAAGCCGGCTCCATTCGCGCGGACAAGGTCAAAATGACACCCGATAAGTGGAAACGGTTTGTTTAACTATAGGACCATCTCCCTTTGAAGCGTGTATTATCCTTTGTGAATGAAATTGTTATTTTTTATCTTATTCTTCCATTATTCGTTACTCTTCCATCAGTAGAACATTGCTTTTTAATTCCTAATATCTGCCGATTTTTTTCCAACCTTATTCGGTTATGCGTATATACTCGAATGCATCTGTGATTTTATGTACATACGTTTATTTATGAGCACTTCATTGATCTGTCAATTTGCAATTATCAACTTCGGCCTATTGTGATTCTATATGGTACCTGCATAAAACAATACACTGTGCCATGTGCTTTCTCATTAAAACTATTTCGCTGTCTATGTCTCTTAGCATCTAGAAAGTCTGGAGGAATTGTTACATCAAAGGAATAATGCCTTAGTAAAAAGCGAAAACCTAGTATTGGAAAGGAGAACCTAGTATCAAAAAGGAAGTTTGATGGAAGAAACGGATCGCGAATCAAAAGCGAAAACCGCAAAGTGCTGCGGAACTCCAAACAAAGTACAGCGGAAACCCTGTATTCTGAGACTGCAGGGTTTCCGCAGCGCCTTCGCAGGATTTTCGCCGGGTCACCTGCGGAAATCCTGCGAAAACGCTGCGGAAGTTCCGGTCGGTTGTCTGAGGCGGTGGGAAAGTAATCAGAGTGCTGTTTGAAAAAGAGATGCAAATTTTGCGCAAGTTGGAGATGTTGGTGCGTCCGACATTGCAGTTGTTAATCCTTGTATATAGTACCATTTGATTCAAGCGGTTTCGCTTGGGGAATGCGTGACCTAATTGAGACTGAAGGATGATCAGAGAGCACTCGCACGAGAGAGATGCGGGTGCGTCGCGGGCGCTAGCGGCCTTAATTAGGCCATAAGTCCCACCTTCTTCAAGCCAAGCCAGTTGAATTAAAGGTTATGTAGCTATTTCAAGTCAAAGACGTAAACTTGAAAAATGTAATGCATCTATTTGCACCTAAGCTGCTGTGTATTGTTACAACACAAAAAAGCAAATGGCTAAGAAAAATATCTTAATTTGAGAGGCAATTTATGACAGATATAGAACTGTTTTGATGTGCAAATAAAACTGCCGAAAATCGAGGACACCATAGTTTTTTGGTTTCTGAGTATAGACCTGAAAATAGTTTTCAAGTTATATTTCCCCAATAAAATGAAATCAACCTAATTTTTGCCAGAGTCGCAGAATCTGTTGTTTCGGCTACAGTCGTATCAGCGCCGCTACTTGTATAGCTTGTTGCATTCCAACATGAGAAAATTAAATAAGTCAATAGAAAAGAAATGAGATATCTAGGGGCATTACCTCTTCACCACCAGCATAAGCTTTACTAAGAACATTCACCGAAATTGATGCTTTAGTTTCTATCAGCTTGTCCAAAAGTAAACTCCTTTTCAAACTGTTTTTGTTTTCCCAGTAAACTTAGGGAGTCATTCGATAGAGCAGATCAAGCTCTACGAATTAGCTATAAGCATAGAAAGCGAGAAAAAGTCCGCCCCCAGCCCCTGTCACATATGTCATCATATACTACACGCCTTACTAAGTATAATTTCAAAAACTTACCCCCTGTATGTTCTCATATTCGAGATATACTAAGCTCTACATAAAAAAAATTCGAAAAAAGTACATTTTTGGGTACTACTATATGTCTACTACAGGGTGCGCCAAAATTATCGGCGCCAACTTTACAAACGCTGCCACGAAGGAACCATTGGAAAATATAAGATCAAATTTGCGTTATAAAAAGCACTAATTAATCTCTACAAAATACATTTTATTGAATTCAAAAAATCCCTACTAAAGAATTTGAGAATTAAAAGAATCAGACCAGTATTTTCAAGAAAGGCAACAATGAAATTTTTCTACTTCATAATTTGCTCTGTAACTGAATAAATTCAAGGCCTTTCTAGACACCTTTCCAAGGTAAAATTGTAAAGCATAATTTGCACTATCACAAGGATCTAGTTGCATCTGCAGGATTTCTTCCTTCACGAAATAAGAAATTGTTTTTGCGAAAAATACCTACGTACGAGCAATGACCTTATGTTTAAAATCGATTATTAGGCCCCAGATATGCAAAACCTTTTAGATAAAAATAGCTCCTTATTCGTAAGACATGTAGAAGAACATCTAGTTAAAAGCGATTACCTGAGATAGTTTTGAATCTGATTTAGAAGGAAATCTGATCCTAAGGCGCACTCACGAAGGCCAAAAATACAACAACTTTCGGTATACAGCCTCTCAACCATGTTTATGAAAAAATCAGAAATTCTTTTCGGATTGACTTTTAAATTTCCAACTCAATTGTGTTAGAGACAAAGGCTTGCTCTATTTTTCTGCGCACCTATAAAGCAAGAAAAAATGCTACTGAAAAGATGCTACGTAAATTCTCAAAGTCATGCTTGCGTACAGAGCACACCTCAGTCGGCGAAAGGAATTGGGATTTTTTTCGAGAGTAAAGCAGCCAAATTCTGATTTGACTATTGCATTACCATAACGCTGGTTAGTAAAAGAAACGCATACTCGATCCGTACTCAAGACCGTCTAGTATCCTTCTGGCACCCAAGGAAACACGCGCCGGTAATTTTGGCGCACCCTGTATATAAAGACGAAGTTGGAAGTACGTATGAATTCTCTGAAAGGAGAGCTGATTTTCAGGGTAGTTGAAAAATCTTGATTTTTGGCCCAAATTTTATCTGGATTACGACTTGGGTGGATCTTTGGAGGTCTGTTTGTACAGCTTGCTCCACTCTGTCGGAATGGTACCTTAAGTCTATTAGGAGAACAAAAACAGCTCAATTTATTTAAAAGTGAAGTTTACATCTGGGACAACCTAATACATTAAACTTGGGCTTGATAACATGTCTTTCTCTAGCAGCTCTAGATCTCAAACTCTCTTTGAAAATGTCAGTTCTTTTCATGCCTTTGGGAGCGATTTCATCTTTCTGATAATACAAATTAAAACGCTAATTACGAATTGCCTGAGTTAATTTTCACCTCATCATCGTCAGCAAATTTAGTTTTTATAGTTTTCCTAGGAATATCAATCCCTATAGCGCCTTTTGTTATAGAAATAACTTCATCATCTTGGAACAGTTACAGTTTGCGCAGCTTCTAGCTAAATTAGTAGTACCTCATGTGCCCCAACTTTTGTAGCCTGCTTAGAAATACCAAGTCCTTAAATTTGTGTAATTTTATCGAAAACTGCTTCAAATTCTCGGGAAGAGTGTTAGAAGAACACAGTAATGATAACTATTTATTATCAATCAAATCCACCTCAGTTGTGGGAGACTTTACTTTTTCTTTCAAGCGCTACGTTCAGTGTTTGTCCTCGCCTTTCCTGAAAAAACTGTTACAAATTGCTGCTAAGCCTAACAAGGCAAGGATGCTTGGTGTCCTTGGCCTTATGAGATGAAATGTATACTATCACACTCGTCTTGGAAGGCTAGTTCCGAATCTGGTTTCCGTTTCTGCTAATACTATCTTTAAGAAGCTATGAAGGTTTTTTGCGGTAAGTTTGCCCCGAGGGAAAATCGGTCGGAACTCCAATACTTCCGGTGTGCTGCTGTGTGATAGTGCGCTAGCCTCACGAGATGATGCAGCTGTAGGTTTGAATCCTTTGCGTTTTTTAGTTACTTTGCCTCAATTAAGCTTCTAAGGAAATTAGTCATTTTCAAGGTAAATTTGTGCCCCTACTCTTCAAAAATATGAAAAAGTGAATCATGCACAAGTGCCGCATGACTTGACTTTTTGATCCACACATCGATGCTAACAAATATCAAACCAACTATGTCTAGTCGCAAGATTTGTCCAAAATTTGTGATGAAAGTGGTGGAGAAAAGAAGCTTAATTGAAACAATACAAATTGATAAAAGCAAAAGAATTCGAATCTACACCTTCATAATCTCTTGAAAGTTATCGTATTAACCAATACACCACAGTGCACTGCAATACTGTTCGTTCCAAACGTACTTCCTGTGGGCGGCCAGAATTGGCGCGAAAAATCTTCATAACTTCTTTTAGAGAGACGATTAGCAGAAATGAAATACAGATTTAGACTCAGGCGTACCAAGACGAGTGTTATGGTATACAAGCCATTTCAAAAAGCCATGTACACCAAGTTACCTTACCTTGTAAGTTATGCACACCTGTGCGCTTTGAAGCGGTATGCTTTGTAATAACGTGCTACGACGACTTCCGGGCTCTCTCTCGCGCTCCTATTGTGAGAGAAGCCGATCGTTGCGAGGTTGAGGTCTACTTCTTCTGCTTTTTCTTTTCCTCTTCTTTTTTTTGAAAGACTTTTAACAGGTTTTAACAATTGCGCACGGTTTCTAGCTTCGCTTTTAATGCTTTCGCTTTAAGCATTTGATTCGATATCTTGGGTCTAAATATTTTTGTCGTTATTTAGGAATTTATAAATTCTCAGTCGTATAACTCTACGAATGCAGACGCGCAAATAACACGAATTAGATATATACAGTGCTGGCCAAAAGTTTGCAGCAACCCTGAAAAGCTGTAATTCCCTTCGCATCCTACAGAATGAACCCAAATTATAGTATTATGTTATGTGCAAATTACTCTACATTGCCATGTATCAGAATATCTTGCGATCTGATGCACACAAAAGGTGATTTTGAGAAATAGGCCGAAATGAAGTTGGCCAAAGCTTGCAGCCACTTTTTGTTAATCGTCTTTGTAAAAGTTCCTAAACTTATAATACTCGTGCTACGAATGGATCAATAATTGTTGAAATGTGCCCGACAATCAGCTCCACCATACTACAAGAAACCATACAAGGAGAATCTATGGACCAAAATGGTTTGACTGCAAGTAGACTGTGAAAAGCGGAAAAATCGTAAAGTTGCGGACAAATATCTGACATGTACGTGCTCTTATAAAAAGTTTTACCAACTAGACGTTTGAAGTCAACTAGCTTGTATGACAGAAAAAGCATTACTTGGCTTAAATGCAGCCTGATTGTCACTTTTGCTCGGATTTGGCGCATTTTGCAGCTCGGAAGTTTGGCGCGGCGGTCCGCAAGAAACCCAAACCCAATGACAAGACCGTTTTTACAAAGATAAACGTTTGCCCGAAGCTGACAGAGCTCCATAAGATGAAGCTGTTTTTGCTATAGAAAAGCGTGCTCGACAGTTTTCTTGAATGCAAAAATCGCGCCCGCTCTTTTATGGCAAAAATAGTTCATCTTTTCTGTGGAGCTTTGTCAGCTTCGAGCAAACGTTTACCTTTGTAAATACGGTCTTGTCGTTGGGTTTTTTTGCGGACTGCTGCGCCAAACTTCCGAGCTGCAAAATGTGCCAACTCCGAGCCAAAGTGACAATCAGGATGCATTTAAGCCAATTTATGCTTTTTCTGTCATACAAACTAATTGAATTCAGACGTCTAGTTGGTGAAACTTTTTATAAGAGCACATACATGTCGATTATTTGTCCGCAACTTGACGATTTTTCCGCTTTTACTCAGTCAACTTGCGGTCAAACCATTTTGGTCCATAGAGTCTCCTTTCTTGTAGTATGGTGGAGCTGGTTGTCGAGCACATTCCAGCAATTATGGATACATTCGTAGCACGAGTATTGGAAGTTTAGGAACTTTTACAAAGGCGATTAACAAAAAGTGGCTGCAAGTTTTGGCCAACTTCATCGGCCAATTTCTCAAAATCACCTTTTGTGTGCATCAAATCGCAAGATATTCTGATACATTGCATGTAGAGTAATTTGCACATAATACTATAATTTGTATTCATTCTGTAGGATGCGAAGGGAATTACAGCTATTTTCCAGGGTGGCTGCAAACTTTTGGCCAGCACTGTAGAACAAGCCTAATCGTCCGACTACAAAAAATATCTGAGCAAAATTCCTACGACAAAGTACTGTACGCCAGAGGAACGAGAAGCGGAGTGAGTAGACTGGTAAGCAGCAATCAGCAATTTCAACTGAGACACCTGATTCTCTCCATCCAGCAATCTAGAAACAAACAGTCAAGCAGTTTAACATGCCAACATCTCCTACTTAAAGCGATCTTGAAACAACAATCATTCACAGATAAAATTTGGAAAATTAGCAGTGACACAAAACCCGCAGACGTGGAACACATTAAAGCTCGTATGTCCAACACCTATGAATTCTCGGTGTCGTTGAGACTTGGTTCTCATATTTATACACTTTTACAATATACCGTCACCCTCACATAAAGCTACACTTCGGGGGAATCCGATAGTTTGGTTTTTTAGTATTCTTGTTCACATACTTGCTAACTTTACTCAGCTAATGCAAAAGACTTAACCTTGATTTGAATTTACGGAATTGATTACCTTCATTACATTGTAGACTAACTTTAGCTAGATTTTTCTGAGCCTCTAAACCACTTCTGTTTGACACGGAAACGCAAATTTTAAAAATAACGGGACTCAAAGCTTTAAATTCACATTCAATTCTTTGAGCTTTCATAATTCACAAGGGTAGAGGATTATATGTTGCCAAATGTAGGAAGGCCCCGCGCGGACTTCTTGCAAAAACGCATTTCCACGCATGTGGAGGTGCGTATTTGTTGCAGATGACCGCGGGGCTCGCCCCATTTCGGCGCGTATGGTACTCTACCTCTTCACAAACAGTGGACGGATACGTTTTAGATCTGGACTTGGCTGACCTTCAATTCAAACTGGCTTGACGGCTGGAAGGCTGGGGGCTTTGTGATAGGTGATGTAGTCGCGCCCCCGACGCAGTTTGTATAATCTCTCGCGCGCGTGCTCTCTGATCAACGCTTAGTTAGGTCACAAAGCCCGCCTTCCAGCCGCCAAGCCAGTTGAATCAAAGGGTATGGAGTGAAGACTTAAACATGGATAAATGCTGAAGGATTACTTGTTCACTTTCACTTTGCCCAAGGCAAAATTGCCAACAGTCGCGGAACAAATTTTTAAGAACACAAGAAGCATTTAAGCAGAACCATAGATGCAAAGGTAAAAATTCTTCTCTGACCACCTTCACTTTAGGGCCGGGCCGGCATTTGGCTGACCTGTTTTACCTAAGACTTGAGACTAGAATGTGTGTGTGTGTGTGTATGTGTGTGTGTGTGTGTGTGTGTGTGTATGTGTGTGTGTGTGTGTGTGTGTGTGTGTGTGTGTGTGTGTGTGTGTGTGTGTGTGTGTGTGTGTGTGTGTGTGTGTGTGTGTGTGTGTGTGTGTGTGTGTGTGTGTGTGTGTGTGTGTGTGTGTGTGTGTGTGTGTGTGTGTGTGTGTGTGTGTGTGTGTGTGTGTGTCACGAGATTCATGGAGGGAGCTACAGAATACGTCCTGAGCTGAATTTTTGCGCAGTGTACACTGGCAACGCCTAAGCTCACTCTACGCAATGGCAAACGACTGATGCACGGGACCTTCAATAAATAGCATTTGGAGCGAATCCACTCGGCTTTTGGCACGCAAGACTAGGTCGTTAATTTAGCTTTTTGCAAAGTGACGACTTGCCTGACAAGTAAATCTGCGCCCATAAATTCTAACCCAAAATCAGCTCAAAAAGTTTGTTTTTCTGCAAAAACAGCGCCAAAGTGGTGATCGCGTAGATAGTCGATTTGGCAAGGTTTTACCCTGAAATTTGAAAGATTTTTGCACGGAATTGTAGCTCAAAGGCCTATTATCCTTATGACAAGCTACCAAGCCAAAACAAACTTAGTAATCCATTCAAATTCGCATTTGTTCCTTTGCGAAAAAGATTTTCTCCTCAAAATTACCGATCTTACGTGGAGATGCTGCAAGAATGAACAGTTGTTTACGATTCATTTGTGATGGACAGCATCGCTTGATGAGTTTCAAAGTCATCATTATGCGTTCATGAGAAAGGCATGGATAGGAGAGCCAGTGCGAACCTCGGCGGAGTGGAGGTGACGCATTGGTAACAAATAAAAGCGCATATAAATTACTCGTTTCTCAAGCTTTCGAACCATATATGAAAATTTTGAAAAAGACTTCCTGTTTTTAAAACTTAAGCATGAAATAATTACCCCGGAACTGCCTGGTATTGTAGCTAGATAAAATTGCCCGTATCTCGCTTCACAGATAAGCTAGTATAAAAAGACGGTTTACGTCGATTTCTCATTTTTTTAGCTATCGAACTGTATACAAAATGTTGATGCACAAAGCTTTTCCAATCCAAAAAAGTCTTGCTTTCGCGTCCCATAGAAAGCGAAAGGTAGAGCAAGTTGATACGAAATATCTTCACCTCATTTTTGAAAAGCCACGAGTCTTGTCACCCAACAACCTATATACCTTTAGAAAGCTCATTTAGCTAAAAACATGTGTGTGCTGGTGAGGAAATTTTTATGCAAAGGAAGAATGAAGATGCCAAATTGTCTAATTCTATTATAAAGCAAGACTTCGCCAAAAAGCGTAGACCGTCTCTTTTTTAGCTTTCCTCTATCTTTTGAAAATGGAGCTCAAAGTGATTGCATAAAATCAGCTAATGCTAAAGCTAGATATGGTTTTTATATCTGAGTCATAATAGAGCTGGGAAAAAGAGAAAGTCTATGTCGACTTTGTATTAGGTTGTCCGGAAATTAATGCAGGTTTTATCTAACTGCAATAAGTCATAGATTTTTCAATTCTAAGTATGTTACAAAACATCGTTCGATAGAGCAAAGCAAGCCCTACAAGATGGCAATCTTTCTTTAGCAACAGCTCTACTCCACCAGAGTTTCGAGTCAAAAACTAAAAAGATTTAACTGCCCGAAAAGTCGAGAAAAATCATAACAAAAATATACAAAAATTCTAACTTGCTTACGTAAATACAATCCACATGGAGCATCTATACACGCCGTTGCCATATATTAGGTCGTTCCGAAAGTTCTTTCCGTTTTTTCAACATATCATAAAAACACGTGGAATGAAGATAGGGAAACGCTTCGGGCACTGCCCGACGCAGCTTTTCTTCCTCTTTTCAACTGTCATATTCCTGTGCCGCTTGCTTTAGCGATCAGTGAGATAATGGCCGAAATTTTGGACCTATGGTTTTTACCATGTCCAACTTTGGCAATTTTTCACTATCTTCTTTCTTAACTTTTGGAGGAGCTATGAAAGCAGTTAGATAGAGTGAACAAAGTGCAATGCAATGGAATTTTTTGGCAAGTTCAGCCAGCTTCTCATTATTTTTTTAGATAACTTTTTCAGAAGTCTTCACTTTTTCGAAGTCACAAAACACACAAACGCTCTGAACATCAACAAATCTTCGGTTTTTGAAACTTTCAAAAGTCGTTTATGATTGTACACTATTTTTACAAAGTAACTGAGCGTTTACCGCTTCGAAATATAAGATTTTGCATTGCACGGATACATCATGAGGCGGGTTCAAAATCAAGATTTACGGAAATTTTATCGCCAAAGACCCCACAAACTAATAAGAGAAAGTACTCATCAGAAAGAGGAGAAAAAGCTGCATCGAATGACACCTTAGTTGTGCGCCTTTTTATGTTCTATGGCTTCTGGCATCCCCAAAAGTGGAATTTGATAGCATCAGAAAAATAATTCTAGAGAATTTTTGAGCCTAGCTATAAATGCCAAAAAATTGCATTAAATTGCACTTTGTTTACTCTATCTGATGGCTATCAAAGCTTTTCCAAAAGTCAAAAAAGAAGATTTTGAAAAATTGCCAAAGTTATACATGGTAAAAACCATGGGTTCGAAATTTCGGCCATTATCTCACTGATCGCAAGAGCAAGCGGCACAGGCATAAGACAGTTGAAAAGAGGAAGAAAAGCTGCGTCAGAGAGTGCCTAAAGCGTTTTCCTGCCTTCATTCCACGTGTTTTTATGATAGGTTGAAAAAACGGAAAGAACTTTCGGAACGACCTAATATTTTCCCTGTTGAAAATCAGGAAAACGGAATTTTTCGTGCACTTGCCAAAGCGGCGCTTGCCGTTCCTACATAAGCAGTTGTATACAACAAACCTGTAAAAGTACAAACGTAAATTTCCAACTCTCTACATGCTTTAGTTCCCGAGAAATATCGAATACAGTTCCCTTGTCATGTGGTCCAAGCTAAAATTTAAATTTCTCGAGAACAAAGCTTGTAGAGAGCTGGAAATTTACGTTTGTACTTCTACAGGTTTGTAGTATACAACTAATTATGTAAAAACGGCACAGCATCACTTTGCAAATGCACAAAAATTTCCGTTTTCTTGATTTCTATCAAGAAAAAAGTACGGCAACGGCGTATATAGATGCCCTATGTGGATTGTGTTTACTTGAGCAAGTAAGGGCCGGTAGTAAACCTATCGAAACGCGCAGCTCAAACTCAGAGTTGACTCAGAGTTAACTCTGAGTTAATGCGCACCTTTCGGGGATCATTAACGCTTGCATAAACAAGCAAATTGGGGAAAGGGTGATATGGCAGGACCGCAACACCTTTATGTTAAGTATGGAAACGTAGCGTAACTCGTTCCATGCGAGACAGCTGCGCGTTAACTCTGAGTTTGGTGCGCGTTTCAGGCTCGCGCGAAACTCGGAGTTAACTCCGTTGGTTAAAGAAAAAGAAATAGTGTGCAAACGCAGAGATGCAGCTAAAGTCCTTCGGGGCAAAATTTGCTCCGAGCTTCACCAAGCACGAGAGGGGTATCACGGTGCACCGTTGAACACAAAAATTTGAAATTTTGTAAAATTTTGGTCCCGGAGGTTATCGGACGTGCTGATCACGAATCCGATGCTCAAACTCCACTGCAATTTGAACCCTTTTTGCGAGCTCTCTTCGTAAGAGACCAGAGGGTAGTAAAAGACCAGCTGGCAGTAGCTAATCACTTAATTTCTGAAAACTTCCTTTGCGCGCTCTTTTCGTAAGAGACCAGAAAGTGGGAAGAATTTTGTGCAGCAGACACCACCACAACTTGTGAAACTCTTTTCGCGCGTCATTTTCGTGAGAAACCAGAGAGTGAATCAGTTTGTGTGTGCACTTCCAATCTCAATAATCTCTTCGCGAGTCCTGCAAAGGAACCAGAGTTAGAAAAAAGAGATTTCAACGGAAGAAAGAACAAGTCAAGAACCAAAAATTTTACTTGTTAAGCTTCAAAGTTCCATCAAGAACTCAAGCTTTCAATCCCCATGGTACAGGTTCAACACACCTTACCGCCCAGCACAGCGTTCAAGCCAACCAGGCACGCTTGCTGACAGCTAGTGGAAGCTCGGCACTCAATTTCCAGCTCTCTAAACGACTTCCTTGCATCCAGTAAGAACAGTTTTCATACAGATCAGCACTGCTGGAAACACAGAAGCTACGCGGTGAACCAAAGAAAGATCAAAAAAGAGGACACGAGGAGCATTACAAGATGACGTCACTCCAACTTTTCAAGATCAGGATCAACAACGCCTGCAAACTCGTGAAATCCCACAAGTCACAAATCGATACTATTGATGTTCCCTTCACATTCCCCATAATGAAAGATGAATGTAAGCAGTACATAAAAGAGAAAAC